TAGTGGGCAGAGGCCAGTTATGCTACTAACATCCTACAATCAATAGCACAGTCCCTGCAACAAAGAATTAATCAGTGCAAAATGTCAATAGAGCCAATGCTGAGAAATCTGAACCAGAGGCAGATAAAATGAATTTCAGATATACTTCCAATTGAGGCAACTCTTCTCATTTTATTTGTTTTATTAAAAAGAGAGGAAATGCCGGGCGCGGTGGCTCAAGCCTATAATCCCAGCACTTTAGGAGGCCGAGGTAGGTGGATCATGAGGTCAAGAGATCGAGACCATCCTGGTCAACATGGTGAAACCCCGTCTCTACTAAAAATACAAAAAATCAGCTGGGCATGTTGGCGCGTGCCTGTAATCCCAGCTACTCAGGAGGCTGAGGCAGGAGAATTGCCTGAACCCAGGAGGCGGAGGTTGCAGTGAGCTGACATCACGCCATTGCACTCCAGCCTGGGTAGCAAGAGCGAAACTCCGTCTCAAAAAAAAAAAAAAAGAGAGGAAATGTTTTATATCTCCCATAGTACTTGATGTTTGGACATAGGTAAGTTGGATAATCTAGAAATCAGGCTGAATTCAAGAGAATTGTTGAGAATTTCTGCAGTATCATTCCCACCCAATAGTCACTCACCAATCCAAAACACATTTACATTCCAATACAGATTTACTGAAAACCAGGGCTGTATTTTATGGTGTTTTTTCTGCCTCTCATAGTTCACAAATTAAAGCAGGCCCAGTGGTTAAAGAGATAACCTCAAAGATGGGGTTGAAATATTTTTTTTAACATCTCCCTTTCTGCATTACCTCATTGACCCTCAAATTATGTGGATTCTCATCACTCATCTTTGTTCTCAATCTAATTCACCACTTCCTCCTTTACAGACTTATACAAGCTCTTGATAAGTTTGTAAAACAGCCTCATAAAGTGGGGAGAGGGTCTAGAGCTAATGACAGTCTTTCTAAACCATAAAATACAAAATTAAAGTTTGTTTTACTAAGAATGTCTAAACCTGACCAGTCCAATATGGCAGCAAGCAGCCATATGCAGTGATTTAAGTTTAGATTAATAAAAAATTCAGTTTCTCAGTTCCACCAACCACATTCTGAGTGTTTAATAAGCACATGTGGCTAGTTGATACCATACTGAAGAGCACAGCTATAGAATACTTTCATCATTGCAGAAAGTTCTACTGGACAATGCTGGCTGTCTAACTATTAAATCTAGGGCATATTCTAGAAATTCTAATGAGATCCTGAAGAAATTCCGTCCAGATAATTAAAATTAAAACAAACTCATTTTAGTCTAACCATTTTATTTTTAACTCCAATACAACCCAAATAGATGATTATGGCCCATTTAAAAACAACAAGAATATTACACTACTTTGTTCAGTTAAGATTCAGTTGCCATATTTGTTATCAAACAGTTCAAACACTTACTGAATGCCAACCACATACGCTAGAAATTGTGGTAAAGGCTGGGGATTCAAAGTTGAATAGGTCACTTTTTTTGTCATTAAAAAACCATTAAACTAAAAATCAGTGTGTTATCTGTAAAACACGTACTAAAAAAGTCATATATAATATAAATGGAGGTCTCAAAGATAGCTTATTCTCTTTGAGAGAATGTCTTGATTCTACTGTTAACAGTAAGAAAAATCAATTCTCCAGTTTCATGGTGAAAACCGAGAGTAGATAATAATCTAGACTGACCACTAGACTTTGACCTACAGAAAATTACTTAACATCTTTAGAACTGATTTTCTACACCTAAAAACGCTGCATCTTCTAGACAAGGTCACAAACTACAAGGACAACCATTATAAGAGTATAACAAAAATTTCAAAAAACTCATTCCACATTATACTAAGAAATCAAAATAAGCTTGTTTTCTGATTATTCACATCCTTCAGTTACTTCATGCTACTTCAACAATTTATATTGTTCTTCTGCCAACTCATGTCTCATAGTTAGCACTCTTACACTTGTATTTTTAGATACCTACTCTTCACTATTAGTAACCCTTACACATTCTTCTCAAGGTAAATAAATACTTGATCATCTGTTTCACACCTATATATTTTCCTACCTCACACAGGAATAGTCTCATTGAAAATTCTAGAGAAGTCTCTTGTAGATGCCTATTAATAAATACACCAAGACCTACTTCATCACCACAAGCAAGGTGGGATTTGCTTTATTTAAAATAAACTGGGTCAGGCACAGTGGCTCATGCCTGTAATCCCAGCACTTCAAGAGTCCGAGGCGGGTGAATCACAAGGTCAAGAGATGGAGACCATATTAGCCAACATAGTGAAACCCCATCTCTACTAAAAAAATAAAAATAAAATAAAATAAACTGGTTGCCAAGTTGCAGCCTCCACACCTATGTCGAAAGGATAAATGAGACCACAACGATGTTCCTTAACAATTATTAACTGTGATTACATATTTGTATATAGAGTTAAAGGAGCTTAGCATTCAACTTCTAAACCAGCAGTTATAAAACTCTTTCATGTCAGGACCCTTTATTGCTTTCAAAAATCACTGAGACTCTCAAACTGCTTTTCTGTAAGTGAATTACATTTACCTATACTTACAGTAATAGATATTATAACAAAGTTTTTTAAATGTTTACTAATTTGTTTAGAAATAATGGATCCATCATATGTTAACATAAATAACATTTTTTTTCTGAAAATAGCCATATTTTAGTAAATAAAATTGAGTGAGAATGACAAATGACTTAAAGGAAAATAGCCAGATTCTCGTATCTGCCTCTGTTTTCACTTTGTTGTTTTGGTTGAGGTATACAAAGAAAATCTGCCTACTTACAGTTAAGTCGTTGGGAAAAGAAAAGGTATTAAGTGACAGTTTCTAGTTTAAGTGATAGCTACAATGCAGAATATGAAACCATGTAACTATGAACTTTTCATACTGTGAAAGTCCATTAATTTATCTTGCATTTTGAATGCATTTCCCAACATTATGCATTGGACATTTGGAAAATACAAATTCACTGAATTCAGATCTTTCAAATGTAAACACACTTCATTACAGAATATCTTAGTATCAATGAGTCCACATCTTTTTTTTTTTTTTTTTGAGACAGAGTTTCGCTCTTGTTACCCAGGTTGGAGTGCAATGGTGCGATCTCGGCTCACCGCAACCTCCGCCTCCTGGGTTCAGGCAATTCTCCTGTCTCAGCCTCCTGAGTAGCTGGGATTACAGGCACACACCACCATGCCCATGTAATTTTTTGTATTTTTAGTAGAAGCGGGGTTTCACCATGTTGACCGAGATGGTCTCAATCTCTTGACCTCGTGATCCACCTGCCTCGGCCTCCCAAAGTGCTGGGATTACAGGCTTGAGCCACTGCGCCCGGCCTGAGTCCACATCTTTTTAACATTCAGTTTATCAGAATGAGAAGTATACATAAAGCATTTCTGCTGCCTATTTACAGTTATCTCAAGGAAAAGCACCTGTCCACTTGAGCTGTGAATTGAACGCGTCACTTTTCTCAGAGAATACAATTTTTACTTGAAAGAATGACAGGCAAACTATGATTTCCCAGACTTGAGCATTCGGTCAACCTTATGGACCCCCTGAAAGGACCCCAGGGGACAGCCCAGGACTCCATGAAGTGTACTTTGAGAAACACTATTCTAATCAACAGGACAAAAACATTCCACGATTTCATGAGTCATTACAACACAAGGAAAACACAACTGCTAATAAAAAAAAAAAAAAAAAACTAAATATTTCTGTTTAAATCCAAGATACAGAAAACCTGCTCTTAAAGTAAAATCTATTTAAAACATTTAGCCTATGTAAAGGGTCTACTTCAAGAACCTAAGTTTCTTTTTTTTTTTTTAAGTAGAGACAGGCTTTCACCATCTTGGCCAGGCTTGGCCTCCCAAAGTGCTGGGATTACAGGCTTGAGACACCATGCCTGGCCAAAAAACTAAAACTATTTTATCAAGCACTTAATCCCTACAACTTAAACACACTTTAGAATACAGGTATATTAAGACTTCTGTAATCCCAGCACTTTGGGAGGCCAAGATGGGCGGATCATGAGGTCAGAAGATTGAGATCGTCCTGGGCTAACACTGTGAAACCCCCATCTCTACCAAAAATACAAAAATTAGCTGGGTGTGGTGGTGTGTGCCCATGGTCCCAGCTACTTGGGAGGCTGAGGCACGAGAATCATCTGAATCCAGGAGGTGAAGGATGCAGTGAGCCAAGATGGTGGTACTGCACTCCAGGCTGGTAACAGAGTGAGACTCCATCTCAGAAAAAAAAAAAATATTAAGGCCAGGTGCCATGGCTCACACCCATAATCCTAGCACTTTGGGAGGCTGAGGCAGGAGGATCACTTGCAGCCAAGAGTTGGAAAGCAGCCTCAGCAATATGCTGAACACCATCTCCTACTAAAAATACAAAAATTAGCCAGGCATGGTGGCATGTGCCTGTAGTCCCAGAGATGGGAGGATGATTTGAGCCTGGAAGTGGGAGGTTGCAGTAAGCCCAGATGGCACCACTACACTCCAGCCTGGGCAAGAGAGCCAGACCCTGTGTCCAAAAAAAAAAAGAAAAAGAAAAAAGAGAGCAAGAAAATTCCTACAGGCATGTCAAATAATCAGAACATAAAATGTAGAATGCTAACTGTCCAATAATAACAGCTAATGCCACTAATCAGGCATTGTGCTAAGATTTTAAATGGTTATTCCATTTAACCGTCAAAACAAGTCTAGAAGATAAATACTACCAATTTCCATCTTACACATAAGGAAACTGAAATATAAAAGTAGCTTGCCTAAAGTCAGAGGAAGAATGCATGGTAGAGTTGGAATTTAAAACCAGCACGTCACTAAACTATACTGCCTCCTTCAACAAAGTTAAACATTCATCCTATAGAAAAATTACAGATTCATTTCTAGCCAAAGAGAATGTTGGGGGGAAAAGGTAGGAATATTTAAAAAAAAAGACAAACTCACAGTTTTTAGTTCCATCAGTACTTGTTCATCCACTCCATCATCCAGAAAGATGTCTCTCACATCATTAATGACATCTTCAATCACAGATCTGTATAATTTAGGCTTTAAAGGAAAAATAAAAGACTTGAAAAAGACGGTTTTTCACAGGTTATAATGTATAACAGATTTTCACAAATTCAAAACAAATACAAGTCATTTTGCCAACTATCTATATATGACTTTCAAGATATGACCACCCTAACAGACCTCATTTGCCATAAACTAGATTTGATAACTGCATACTTTAATAAAAATTTTAAGATTAATGCAGTTCATACACAGAAGGTCCCTATGACTACACGGTCCATACAATTTCCAATTATAATTTCCTATGTTGTAGTCAAAATACCTAATGTAATGTTCAAAAATAGCTGTATGGGTTGTTTATGTCTAGCTGCTACTATTCCATGTGTTTGAACTCTGCTGTATCTCACTACCTCACAACTAAAACTTAGACTTTTGAGAATGTTATGTACAGCAGTCATCTACCTGGTAATAATCTGCAACCTAATGAACATACGGGTTTAAAAATCACCTGACTTGTGTTGAGTAACCCAATCTGTCCTTTCAAGCTATATCATTAAACTATTCATACACTCGCAATAAGAGGTCTGAACGTCCCAAGGAACAAGGTACACTGATTTCCTTCCCAGGATTTCTCCTCTACTACTGTCCAGGTAATGGAACAGAACATTATAATGAACATGAATCCTCTAAATGTTTATTATTATTATTACAATTTGCATTGTTGGTATTACTTGAGGGCAGGGTGGGGAAGTAAAGGAGCTGGCTTCTAGATGGTTGAATGGCAAAATAAGCAAAATGAGAACAGATGGGAAAGAACTTTCAAAGAGTCTAAAATATTTTTTTAAAAACTACAAGGTGGGAGATAGAACAATTAGCCCAATCCACATCCTTTTTTTTTTGTTCCCCACGTGCAATTTTTAAAATGTTAGAAAAAATGAAGTCATGTCAGATGACAAAACTAGAATTGCCTTGACAAAACCAGAGTTTCCTGGTTATAAATCCTATCCACTATTAGAGAGTTAGGGTTAACAAGTTTTTTAGACGCTCTGTCATTACTCGTGTTTCATACCTTGCTTAAGGTAGAAGTTAATGGCTACCAAATAAAACCAAGGGTCTGTTCTCACAAGCACACTTCAAAGAGAAATACGTTTCACTACCATCTCTATCAGCAACACTGTGATCACAGGGGAACTGCTAAGAAAATGTGTCCTTGCCTTGTCAAAACTAGAAATAATAAGGGAAGGTACAATGGCTAACACCAGCAATCCAGCTTTTTGGGAGGACTGCTTGAGCTCAGGAGTTCGAGACCAGCCTGGACAATATGGTGAAAAACCCTGTATGTACAAAAAAATTAGCCAGGAGTGGTGGCACGGGCCTGTATAGTCCCACCTATTTAGGAGGTTGAGGTGGATGGCTTGAGCCCAAGAGGGAGAGGGTGCAGTGAGCCGAGACTGCGCCATTGCACTCCAGCCTGGGTGACAGGGCCAGACCCTGTCACCGAAAACAAAACAAACAAAATACAAATAATCAATCTGTCAGTACAATTTACCTCAACCATTAAAAACTATTCATTCCTTCTCATTAAAAGAAAACCAATTCAAATATCTGGGTTCTTGCTTTACTGTTCCACTCACTAACCTCTTTATTTTGCCCAATCTGCCTCTTGAAGCTTAAATTTTTCATCTGCAAAACGAACATTTCTATAGTCCCTGCTTTAACATTCATTCTGATTCTACATATAAGTAAAGTATATGTGACTATGGACATCATCTTAACTAAACTGATTTAACTGCTGAATTACAGAAGTATCTCTATCAAGTGTTTTGTTTTTTAATCAATAATGACTCCTCAAGGCATTAGAAGGGCAATGTATTTTAAATTGGGAGCATAAATCTCAAACTGACAATACATAATGCTTTTCAATAAACTAGATGGTGTTGTGGTGTTCCTGAAGTCAATTACCTCTGAAAACCTTTTGCTAGGAGATCCAGACATTTATAGGTGGTATAAATCTGCCTTCTTCTGGTACTCTCTACTTAATGAATCATTCTTTAAGATTTTATTTTTGTGCCTTAATGAACTCACAACTTGATCACTTAACAGCTTCATAAGCACTATAGTTGAAAGAACGGAAACATGTATTCTTCACAAAGTATATGCCTAATAAATAATTTAGAACTGTTCACAATTTGTAAAGCACTCAAGACACTAATTTTTGAAAACTATGTGGGCACATAGGCAGTATTTGAAATAAGCAATTTCTAAACTAGTACCTAAAATTCTTCACTCTATTGAGTCAAAGTTTCTGTTTTTCACGAAACAGTTTAGGTTTGTCCTGATTTTTAAAAAAACAGATATTTCAAACTTGAAAACTGGTTAATCAGAGGGCCACTAGTGGCATTACTAGGAGGTTTCTTAGGAGGTTTCCTTCAAAAATGTTAATTCCCTGATGCAATGCTGAAATATAAATTGGAATTAATTTTTATACTGGATACCATGTTAATATCCAAGGCGATAAAGTTGTACTTAATTTTTTAAAATGCAGTTTGCACTAAGTCTCCTCCCTCTAATTACTCATCCCCTAAACATAAATGGTCCTATACCAAAGCTTCAGGCACTTATCTATTTCTCTGAAAGGCCTCGTGTCTTTTAGATTTACTACAGAAAAAACATAATGAAATAGTAGGAGCTGTATTTCTAACCTGTTTCCTGAATACTTGAACAAAATACAACCCAAACCAAGTCCTCTGCAGCTAACACATTTTTTTAAATTCCTGAAAATAATGCACACAGGAAAATAACTAGACTGATCAAAAATTCTTCGTTTTCAATAATACATTTTGAAAATTGTAAATAAAATAAAAACGGACAGCGATTCGGATATATTCCCCCTAACAAAGAAGGTAAATCCTAGCTGCTGCTAGGAACAAAACAAAAACTTGGGGCTCTGAAAGCAGCCCCCGACAGGCGCGAAATTACAGCGTGAAAAAAAGGACGTAGAAATAAACTGAGCTCTGCACGAGCCTGGCTCTCGCCTCGGGAGCACGCACCTCCCAGCCCCGCTCTCAGCAGCTCTCACTATTTAAAGCCGGATCTGGTGTTTAAATGGAGAGGCGGTGACGTAGGCCTGAAAAGCACCTACCCATCCTGGCAGAGTCTATATTAGAGAGCGGCAATGGCTCTATATAAACAGGGCAGCCAAAGGGAGGAGGACCACAAAGCTCAGGGACTGAAAAGCAGGGTAAGCGGCCGCAGCCATGATGGATCGACCCGAGTCGCCAACGGGTACGGTGTCGGGCGGCCGCGGGCTGGTCTGCGGCATTTGGGACCGGGCAAAAACGTGTTTTATTGTCATCACAAAAATAAGAGTTGGGGGGACTAGTGATCACATTGCGTTGGTGACTGAAAAGGTTATTTATGTGACTGCTTTTTGCAAACCTACGTGATCGCAAGTAACCAAAAAGGGACCAACGGGAAGAAGTAGGCAAATTTCAAGGCGAAAGCAGGGACACTTGGACCACTGTAGGCTCTTTTTGTTTGTTTTGGTGCTTTTGCTAGTCGAAGATACGATGGGGGGGGGGGGGGGTTTGCTTCCCCTTCGCCATTTTACCCGTTCGGAAGGAACTGAGATAAGTGCTTTTCAAACAACCTTCGTCCTTTTTTTAAACATAAAATGGCTCCAGTGAAGGTTCCCAAAGCACAACTGCCAGAAAAAATTCCTAAGTATCCCCCAAAGTAGCCATTAATCCTCCACTGCATTAAAGTGGATCACGGTGGGTCTCGGGGTTTCGCCCGACTCCCCAGACACGGTTTTTGTTCTGAAGCCGCTCGGGGAGCCACCGTCTAGCCAGCGCGGACGGGCCCCTCGGGGGGAAGCGGCGGCTCCCCTCCCGCCCTCCCTCCCGGCGGCCGGGTTCTGGGGCCGGGGCTGCGCGCCCGCCCGGGCCCAACCGCCTCCGCGGCCCGGCCCGCGGCGGCCCCAGGCCCCGCCGGCGCCCCCGCCCTCCCCGCGCCGCGAGCCCTCGGCGCCCCCCCGCGCCCGCCGCCCGGCGCCCCGGCCCGATCCGCCCGAGGCGGGAAGCGGCGGCGGCGGCCGCGCGGGCGGCTTAAGAGTCGAGGCCGGGAGTCGCCGCCGTCCCCGCCCCCGCCCGGTCCGGCCGTTGCTGCCGCCTGAACGAAGCCCCCGCCGGCCACCGAACCACGTCCTTACCACGGTGTTTGTATTTGCCGAGTTCGCCATTTCCACACACAACACAAACAAGAGGGGGCAACCCCAAGAAAACAAGATAAAAACAAAACCAAAAAAAAAAAAAAATACTAAAACACCCGAGGGTGACCCAAGTCACCGCAAGATTGGGGCAAAAAATTTAAACAAAATCAATCCTGAAGGAGTAGGGGAGAGCGCAGAGAGGAGGAGGAGGGGGGCACACCTCCCGCAGCTAAAAACCTCAAGAATCGCCTTTAAAAAAAAAAAAGCCACGACCCTTCAGGGGTCCGGGGGCGTTGCCCGCTCCCCACCCCGCACCAAGGAGGGAAACCACCACCGGTCACCGCTCCCTGCGCCGCTGCTGCCGCCACCGGCTGCAGCTCCAGCCGTCCGGTCCGCCCGCTTCTCTCCTTTATATAGCGAGCCAACAAGCTGCGCGAGCCACCGCCGCCGCCGCTGCCGCCGAGAGACAGGGTGATGGGGGAGGGAGGGGCGGAAAGGGCGGGGGGAGAGGAGGGCGGGGCTGAGCGCGAGACACCGCGAGAGCCGCGTGCGCAGGCGCGCCGGGGCGGAGGCCTCCGCGAGCCGCGATATCACGCGCGGTGGAGGGTGCTGGACTGGCGGAGCCCGGGGGAGTCAAGTAGTGAAGTCGGACCCACGCCTCTCCAACTCTCGCGTGATCACGTGGTTGGCACCCAGGCGGAAGTCTGCTGCAGTTCTTTGCGGTGAAGTACTTGCAAAGCGTTGCTAGAAAAGGCGCGAGTTCTAGTGACACTCCAGTCCAAAGCTGGGTGGGACCGCCTCCTGTCGCACGTTTCCGCCCAGTCCCGCCCTGGAGGAGCTAGGAAATGAGAGAAGCGGTGGCGACTGCCTCGTTAGGAATGGCCGCGGAGGACTGGTCACGTGGTGCCGCTTCCGGCCTCTGGCGGGTTCCGATTCGGGACGGTTTTAACTGCGGAGTCATCTCTTGATTTGTCAGCGAGGCTTTGACTGTGAGCTTTGGAGCGTTTGCGCCTCGCGGAGGGTGGGTCTTTCGCGCGCAGAATTGTGTAGGATTTCCCAGTGGGAGTAAAGGCCGATTGGGGCCCACTTTCACATTCCAGAGTTAGTAACCTCTGATTTGGTTTGTTTCCACATTGGGTCCGTCCGCTACGAAGACCAGGCTTACTTAAGTTACCCAGAGATGAGTTCTCTACTGGGCCACGTACTTTAAATAATTTGTCACGGTGGTGGAAATGCGAGACGGAGAGGGAGGGAGAAAACCCCACCAGCCTTTGGATTATAACAGCACGGTAACTTGCCCTGGTTTTAAAAAATACTGTCAAAATCCCACTACTCTGCATGGCCAACGTGTAGTAACTGATCACATTGAAACGCATGCCCTTGACCCAGATCGCTTGGCCTCTAGCTATAAGAGAGCGAGGCGGCTGTGCCCATGTCTTGAAGTGCAATCCAACAAGCTTTTGACCTCCTCTGCCCACACAAATCCTGCCTTTAAATCAACATTACAAGCAGAACAGAGTCCCTGGAATTTTGAGAGACGTGAAATGTCTGGATGACTGAAGGAGTTTGTCTTACAAAGACAAAGTAAAACGAAATTTTAAACGTTCTTTCCTGGTGAAACCAGATTTGAAGAATATCAAAGGCGTCTTACCAAAGAGAAAAAAAAAATGCAGCCTGCCAAGACCTGAAGAAAGGAAGTAGAGGAAGCAGGGGCCTTTAATACGTGGAAAAGGGGAGATTGTGAATGGTTGTGGAGAATATCTATGAACCTTGAGATTTATTTTCACGCCAAGTCCATTCCCTTCTTAACACTTAGTTGCTTCCCGTTACCTGCACAGCTGCATGGTCTGGGACACTTAAGAAAAAAAGTCAGGAAATCAGTATTCTTAGCAATGTAAAATTGTGATTCTCTCAACATTTGTTATTTATTTAATATTCGGATGACAGCCCAAGTTGTAAAGTTACACTAAACAATATCATTCCTGGTAAATTTTACTGCATATTGAAAAGACTTCTTGTTACCTCCCTATATGCATACTCCCAAACGCTTTGTACATGGAATCCCTCACCTTCCACGTAGTTTTCTCCCCTACCATTTCGTGTTCAGAACTAAATGGTTGTGTCGTTTTGCCATCAATTAAGGTTAAAACCACTGCAGACTGGACATGGAAGAGAAGCTATGAGATTTGCTCTTCACAGAATTAATCTGTGAAATAGTGGAATGTAGTTAATTGGATTAAAGTGGCAGAAAATCCAATCCTGGCCTCCTTAAGACCATCAGACTCCCTGGAGGCTCTGAGTTAGCTTCTCTCTTTACACCTAGATTACAAAAAGACCTAAGCACTTGGTTAATATTTACCCAGGCAATTGCATTAGATGGTATGTCTGGCATCCAGCCATCATGGATTCCATTCCAATATATTGGTTTTCCAGGCCCTCAATAGGTGTTATATGCCTTCATTGTAACGTGTGTGCCATCCAGTTTAGTTTCAGAGAGAAATGTTTTCTGATCTTGCACCAAAATTGTCGGACTGAATACTTGGAAGCTGTAGCCCTTTAATTCACAAAACTGAAAATTTGTGAGAGAATACTTCTCCCAAGTAAGACTACATTTAGCATCATATTTAAATTGTTTCTATCTGAACTTTTTATTCTTGGTCTCCTACAGCTTGAATGATGTTTCTAACTTTAACAGCAATTTCTACTATATAGGATTTGCTATTTGTGATCTCATACTTTGTAACAGCCATGTACTTAGATACATAATAGTACTCTCTTTGTGATGGATGTTTGTGTTGTGTGATTTTTAACTTCAAAATGATTTATCTTGGGAGATAAAATGCTGTATCTTTCTTTTAATATGCAGCCTAAACACTAGATAACTGTAAAACAAGAGAAGAAAAGAAAAAAAAAATCAATGTATAAGTTTTGCTATACCATCAACAAAATGACACCAAACCTTATATGTCCAAACATTTAAATGTTTTGCAGTCCAAATGACTATTCTAGCAACAATGCCAAGAAAGAAAAGTCTAAAAAGATTGTGGAAATTGGCTTAAACTAAAATCTCATGACTACCTATCAAACTTTATTTTCTTAAATAGTGAAAAAAGAGGAAAAAAAACAGTTTTGAGGCACATTTATGTCCTTATATGCTCAGTAGTAGTGGGCATTGTGGAAGGACACAAAACTGAAGAAGAAAGATGCCTCAAGCTTACTAATCATTTCTTTTTTTGTTTGTTTTTTTTGTTTTGTTTGTTTGTTTGTTTTTCTTAAAATGGAGTCTCCCTCTGTCACCAAGACTGGAGTGCAGTGGCACAGTCTCAGCCTACTGCAGCCTCCACCTCATGTGTTCAAGTGATTCTCCTGCCTCAGCCTTCCAAGTAGCTGGGATTACAGACGAATGCCACTAAGCCCAGCCAATTTTTGTAGTTTTGGTAGAGACAGGGTTTCGCCATGTTGGCCAGGCTGGTCTCGAATTCCTGACCTCAGGTGATCCACCTGCCTCAGCCTCCCAAAGTGCTGGGATTACAGGTATAACCCACCGTACCCAGCAAGTTTACTAATCTGAATGAAAGCCCCTATTTTAAAATGTAGTGCATAGTCGTAAGCATTCATTTAAGCTACTGAGAGCATAGATATTTCAGTCCTACCAAAAACAATTATACTGCATTCAGATTTCATCTATATTTTTGGCATTTACAAAGAAACTGCCCATTTTCACGTGCACAAATTTTTGGTGGTGACTATAAGAAGAAATTACCACCCAAATTAGTTCTGTACATGTGAGGAAGAGTTTTTTTTTTTAAATCTTTTTAAATTATCTTCTTCTGTTGTAACTTAGTTTGAAATTGCAGCCGGGCACGGTGGCTCAAGCCTGTAATCCCAGCACTTTGGGAGGCTGAGGCGGGTGGATCACGAGGTCGAGAGATTGAGACCATCCTGGTCAACATGGTGAAACCCCGTCTCTACTAAAAATACAGAAAAAATTAGCTGGGCATGGTGGTGCGTGCCTGTAATCCCAGCTACTCAGGGGGCTGAGACAGGAGAATTGCCTGAACCCAGGAGGCGGAGGTTGCGGTGAGCCGAGATCGCGCCATTGCACTCCAGCCTGGGTAACAAGAGCAAAACTCCGTCTCAAAAAAGAAAAAAAAAGAAAAAAGAAATTGCTGCTTCATGTCTTAAAACACCAACTAGCTCTAAGTTATTTTCTGTAGAACAAAATGTAGACCAGTTTGTAGTTTTCATCAAAAATAAATTAATTTTGTCTGGAGTTTTGGTGGAATCAGGTTTGACTCTTGCCACTAAATTCCTACGTGACATTGTGCCATGATTCTCTCTGTATCAATAAGGTGAAATAATCACCGCTACCAGGAAGTGCTTTGACAGGTGTTTGGTGGGTGTTTTATTAATGGTAACTGTAACAGCTGCACCAGTATTATCAAAGCTGAGGAAAGATGTTCTTAACTCACTTTGTAGAACACTACCATTGGATTTTTATGATGATGGCTGGATGCTGTGGTTCATGCCTGTAATCCCAGCACTTTGGGAGGCTGAGGCAGGCAGGTCACTTGAGGCCAGGGGTTCCACAACAGCCTGGCCAACATGGTGAAACCCTGCATCTACTAAAAATGCCAAAAATTAGTCAGATATGGTGGCATGCGCCTGTAATCCCAGCCACTTGGGAGTCTGAGACATGAGAGGCAGAGGTTGCAGTGAACCAAGATCATGGCACTGCACTCCAGCCTGGGCACCAGAGCTGGAGACAGACTGTCTCAAAAAACCAATAACGTCCAGGCACAGTGGCTCACGTCTATAATCCCAGCGCTTTGGAGGCTCGGGTGCATGGATCACTTGGGGTCAAAAATTAGAGACCAGGCCGGGCGTGGTGGCTCACACCTGTAATCCAAGCACTTTGGAGGCCAAGGCGGGCGGATCACCTGAGGTCAGGAGTTCAAGACCAGCCTAACCAACATAGTGAAACCCTGTCTTTTAAAAAAAAAAAAAGAAAGGCCGGGCACGGTGGCTCAAGCTTGTAATCCCAGCACTTTGGGAGGCCGAGGCGGGCGGATCACGAGGTCCAGAGTTCAAGACCAGACTGGCCAACATGGTGAAATCCCGTCTCTACTGAAAAATAAAAAAATTAGCTGGGCATGGTGGCTCGTGCCTGTAATCCCAGCTACTTGGGAGGCTGAGGTAGGAGAATTGCTTGAACTGGGACCAGGAGGCGGAGGTTGCAGTGAGCCGAGATGGCACTACTGCACTCCAGCCTGGGTTACAGAGCGAGACTCCGTCTCAAAAAAAAAAAAAAAAAAAAAAAAAATTAGAAACCAGCCTGTCCAACATGGTGAACCCTCATCTATGCTAAAAATACAAAAATTAGTTGGGCATGCTGTGCATGCCTGTAATCCCAGCTACTCAAGAGGTCAAGGCAGGAGAATCACTTGAACCCAGGACTGAAAGGCTGT